TAGTAGCTTCTTGTTACTACTAGTAAGGCACTTGTTACTACTAGCGTGGCACTTGTTACTAGTAGCGTCCTTGTTGGTCAGTCTTCAAAGTCCAACTTCTGAATCTTCCCACCTTCGTCCCCCTTTGTGGCGCGATTTGGTCCAAGATCGTACAGGTGGCACGGCCGATGGAGAGCCTGCCAATGGAGGCGTTGAACCGGAGGGGTGGAAACTTCCACCCAACGATCCATCTCATTGTGAATCACTGTTCATGACGGGTTAGAGGCATTCAAACCGCAGTTTAAATTACTTCATTAGTCTGAATTTGAAAGATAGAACACGCAGCAGATTCAGTATATTCAGTGGCCGGCTAGGTAGATGCAAGGGAACAGAGCGAGTTGGACCCACGGCCCAGTGTAAGCGGTGTAAGGTTGTTTTTTAATGTTGAAATCGGCATGGTCGTTTGTGCGGAGCCTTGCCTTGATGCAGGAGAACAAGAAGCAGAAAACAGGCCGGGCATGGAGGGGGATGTGTTGGTATCAGAAAGCCAATATGATGTTCAGAATATGTAGAAAACTGCTTTCAAACAAGGAAGTAGCTGTTGCCAGAAGTTCATGGGTGTTGGGGGTAGCGGGTGTTTTGCAAACCAGCAGCGTCCAGTCTGTGCATGGCGCAACACTGGTGTGCGGAGGCGCAGCCCCTGGCTGGCCAGCAAGAGCCTCAACGGCCGCACCAGGCGGCGGGGGAAGACTTGAGGTGTTAAAACATTTGCGTCACCACAATGAAGCAATCAACAGTGTCTCCAGAAAACTGTACTGCATACCCATGCATACCCCGAGATTCTGATTGACACATACTTGAGATTGACACATACTTGACTGACAGGTGTTTCCCGCATACAGTACAGTGTTTGTACTGTGCTTCTTTGCCGATCTATTCGAATCCACGATAATCAAATTGCATCCTACAAGCCATCGCCCACGGACTTTTGTATCTTTTTAATCAGAAACTTGGCCAACGCAAGAGATTGTCGCAGCTGTCGACTTGGTGGTGCCTTTTGGAGGGCTGACCCCACTTTGTGACAAGGGAACATCACGTATCACTCTTTCTACCAGAGGCCTGAGGCCTTGATTGTTGACCACTCCTTGCTTTGGGGTCCAAATTGGGGAAACCATTTCACCTCTTCAACGAGGAGCCAGAGGCCACTTCTGTAAAAACTGCAGACTGAACATGAATGAAGTCTTAAGCTCATTGATAGCAGCTGAGCCCGGTGCCTGGATCGGCAAGAGGTTTAGGCCCACAACTCATGGATCACAGGGGGAACGCCACAAGCTGTAAGCTGTGGAGTTTCGTTTGACATTTTCCGGTGGATCTAGAATCTAGAAGCCCCCCCCCAGCGTTCGTGTGCTCTGGAGGAGGGCCTACCTCGATCTCTTGGAGAACAGGGTATAGGAAGATGCTTTTGTCAACTTCTGAACTCCACAAAAGGTTGTGGACTGCTCTTGGTTTTGCTTTTCGGCAAAGCAACTGGTCGATCGACTGCCAGGTCCAACTGATGGTTCGGTGCAGGTGCTGAGAACGTTCGTGTAGCCCAGGTTCTGCACAGCAGAGAGCGGTGCCATCGCAGAAAGACCAAAGACATCAACATTTTATAGACCTGCACTTCTGAGAGGGTGTGCTGGGACTCCTGTTGAAATCATGCAGCCCATCGTGTCTCACGTATCCTCACGTGTAACATTAAAATTCACTTGCTTTCCATCATCCGATGACTCTGCCGGGCAGTTGGTCAACCATTGCATCTCTTTGGACATTCTTGGACACTTTCCTGATCCACGAACAATCCCAAACCACTCCGTCCGTAGACATCATTATATACAAAATTTAGATACTTTTAGTAACAGCCGTGTAAGACCAAGACCACTTTGAAGCGGAGTCTTTGACCACGATGAGTGTGTGAGGGCACGAAACAGGTCATCAGGCATCATCGCTAATTCACCACCGTCAAATGCTCCCGTTTTCACAACCATCATCAATCCCTTTTCAAGCAAACTTCAAGCCACAAAGTTAAGACTTCACAAAATCGCCATCACCGAAAGAAATATACTTCCCGCCTTTCTGTGTTCTTTTTGTCCCGCCGCCATGCCGCGTCGGTTTGAGGCCCGAGGAGGCACAACTCCGAGAGGCCTCGGAAACGCAGGCGGAGCCTCTGGATGGGAGCTGAAGAGCCGCACGGAACGTGGGCGAAGCGGCTTGCTCGCCGCAAATTGGGCGAAGCAATGGATGTGCTTTTGGGCCAGGGATTTTTTGCTCTTTTTTCATCCTAAGAAATGATGAGGTCTCATGAAACTCCGCCATGTTTACGTTGGGAACACATCTCATCTCACTTATGGTGACAGCTGATGCCAAAGCGCAGTTTAGGACCCAAGTGGACCTATGGATCGGGAACTAACTCGTCGAATCTCCTGTTTCCTTTTTCGATTTTGTCGAATCTCGATGAAGAGTGGAGGTCACTGTTGAGATATGAAAAGGTTGGAGATTAAACTGTTGAACATGTTGGTGATTCAGAAGAGAGAAGAGATCCAACCCGATTTCCTTTTGTTCAATCTTCTTGTAGCTGCTCATTGGTTCGTGCAGCCCTCACGTGGGATGAAGAACTGATAGGTCTTGATGCATTGACATGGCATGCAAAGGAACACCCGGCTTTGTGAACTCTGAATTCCCTTCCGGGTCCTGGGCTTTGACAGTCAATGCTACGAGTTGAAACTGGTAGCCAGATGCTTTGCCAAAGATCCCTTGGGCACCAAGGCTTTGAAAGAACACGTCGTTTTTCCGATGTTTTTCACGCCTTCGTCCTCTGTTTCAAGGTGATACTCAGAGCCACGAGATTCGTCTGTCGCATTCTCTTCCGCGAGGCGGAAGAATTGGACCAGATCCTCCACAGTGGATTCAGCAGCTTGGTTCGGAGCTCAGCCGTTCCACGGCCGGTCCAACGGCCTTTGCATCCTTTCTTCCCGAAGGATGCGGAGCGACTCCTCTTCAGTGGGTGCGACGGTGCGATGGAGAAATACGGCCAGATGCCAGCAGTGCTAGTTCACAATGATGTATCTCAGATGTTCAAAGATCCAGAAATGCCACGTGGTGGTTCACGTGTCTTCGCCGACGAAAACCCTGCCGCGGTCTGGTGAGGTCTTCGCCTTGGTGGAACGGACACTCTTTGCTCTGAGACGGCGACAAGGCCGTGATGGGAACCAGATATTGACATCCATCAACCTCTTGATGTAAATGCCATGACCATTGAAGAGAGGAGAAAGGAAAGGGAAGAGAAGAGGACACATCGCTTGCCGAGTATATATGATTGGTTTTCCTACAGATTTGTATTTTTTTGTGCATGTGCGGATGAGAATTGGTGTTGAAGGGGGCATGACTTAAGCGTTTTGGGCAAGGTTAACTTTTCATTTACTGTAGATGTTCGAAAGAAGAAAAGAGTAGAGCAGAGAAAAGGAAAAAGAGAAGACAAGGAGAGAAGAACATGGGGAGAAGAGAAGGGAAGAGCCCACAATTGTGCAAAGACCATGCTTGTAGGATCATGTTTGTAGGAGTCGCTCCTGATCCAGCTGAAGGAACAGGAACACATTTTGACCTGATGCAAAACATCAATTGGGGTCTTTAGTGTGTTCCGCGTTGGAGGTAAAGTTTTTTTCTCGTGTTCCAAGTAAGTAGCTGCGGTGCTTGGGCATGTTCCGGAGACAAAGCGTGCCAAGTACTTTGATTCTCGGTCAATCTGACACATTTTATCTCGACATTGTGTGAACTGCCATGATACACTGTTATTGGTGCAAGAAAGTGGTTCGGTCTCCTATAGTTGAATCATGTGAATGAGTGCAACTCAGAATTTGCACTGTTTTGTTTGTACCTTTCCAAAAGCTGTGGTGCGATCCTTCCACCAATTTCAAGCAAAAAAGATGATTCGTATGCACAAGTCAAACCTGATTTCCCAGCATCGACTCATCGACTCAAACACGCCTCTGAAGAATAGAATGAACACTTTCTTTGCAAAGAGCGTGTCACTACCCAGTCATTTTGTTTGAGATGAGATGGATGCTCGGGGGGTCTCTTCGGAATCTGAATGAGTCAGAACGCACCCGTCGAGCGCCACCGTGCACGGTGCGAAGGTGAAACGGAGCCAGGGGAGCAGGACTGGGTAGACGGGTCGTGCACCGTATGGTTTTCTATGGGTTTTCTCAAGGCATCTGCGATCGGAGTCTCAAGACTGATTCGGCATCTGATGTTGCAGGCGGGAATGGGCGACATTCTTGCAAGAACCATGTCCAGTGCGATCCAGAAGCGCTTTAAGAGCACGGGGGGCGCGAACAATTTCGAGCAGAATCCAAGACTCATAAAAAGTAGCAATAGAATCCTGAGGAGTATGTAGAAAAGGACATCTGTTTTTGACCCAGACTGAGCATCGACACTCCTGGTGACCCACCCTATAGGTCCTGAACCCTTTGCTTCGCAGGATGTCACCAGTGAGTTGTTGCGCCACGTGACTCGGGCCATGCGACCGGAAGGGTTCTCGCCGCAGGGTTTTGGAAAAAGATCCGTCCTTTTAGGGACGAGTTCTTCAGCAGCCTCCAACCCAATAGCATTTTCAGGGATCCACAGGGATGCACATGTCCAAGGTCCTGACTGCACTGCGCTTTCAATCTTTTCGACTGGGCTGAAGCGTTGGAGGGGTGTCTCCTGAGATGCTGAGAACCATTTCTTTGCATGGTTTTCCTTAGCAAAGCACATTTATCGCAGGTATCACGGCCATTTTGTCATACCGAGTGTCTCCGGTCCATTGGTTTACCGGTTATCCCACCAATGACTCCAACCTATGGGGAATTTCCTGGCTTGCTTGGAACCAAGATAGGCAGAATCCATGGGTTTGCCGGGTTTGCCGAACAAATCGAGGTGCTTTTGCCACGGGTCCTGAACTGCTCCTTCAAGGTCTTCGCTGGCCTCTTGGCAAATGAGGACACATTGAACTACCCAGCTATGCCGGCTAGGAGCAGTGGGAAGAGGGTCACGGTCTTTGCGGCACAAGTGAACAGACCCGGTTTCTAAAGTCGAAAGTAAGTTTGGACAAGCAGAAATCCATTGTGCCTTTTTGTTGGAGGCTCAGTGTATGTTTGATTTCAACTGGTTGTTGGCTTGATTGCCACATGCCAAACTTTGCATTGCCTCAACGAAGGAAGACACGAAGACGAGCAGCAATAAATCATTATTCCCACAGTGGACAAGAGGGAGAGACATGCTCAATGTGAGTTCACCAAACCGACCTTTAAACCCAGTCACGTCTTTGCAAGTTTCAATTGCCCATCTGAGTGATTGATAGGCCAAGCTGTACTCACTGCTAGGCTTCAGGAGTGATTCCTTCAGGAGTGAGACTGAAGTCCCTCCAGGAGTGCAAGGGGAAATGGACGAGCTGATGCCGTCCCAAATGGACTTGAAGCCAATTGGGTGAGCACGGTGAGCTGTGTTCGGCCCTACGAACTTGAAGGACAACTGCACGCAGCCGGTGTCCGCAGCCTTTAAACCAATAGCAGCCCGCCCGTGCCACGAGACACGTGAGGCGCCGACTGAGACTCACACGACACAGTGGTAGATGTTGATCGAAGGAAAAGGGATGAGGATGGTTTTACACATGAAAGTTTTTTGAAAAGGACTGATGACCACTTGGAAAGGATTAGCTGCAACGCTTGGATTCCAGGAATGACCCTTGGCTTTGCCGACCCTTTGTTTCCGTATGCTGTATGTTCAATAAAGGTCTGTCACAGAAGCACTTTGCGAACAAGGTCTTTGCATGTCTTTGCAGCTGCAGAACACAAATTCCCCAACTCAACAGGTGGAACTCGGTGGAACCTTTGCCACAAAACAGGAACCTTTGCCATTTCCTCGATGAGCTACAAGCGGATTAGACTGCTGAGACTTGCTCGAACTATCTTCGTTCACCAACAATCCACTGTTTCGATGTGTTTGGATGGCAACAGGCCGCGCTACGGCCACAGCCCGCTCCTCTTGGTGCAGGTGAGGCAGCAATGGCCGGCTATGGTCCCACCATCATTCCCAGGCTGCAGGGAGCGGAGGGAGCCAGGTGGAACTTCAATATACCCACCTGAAAACCCAATCCCAACCAGAAACAAATGGACTTCCTTCTCTTAACGACTGATCTGGTTGACATGGATGGTAGTCAAATAAGACAGCAAAACCTCGGATGACTTTTCCAACTTGTCCGGAATGGTATCTGTTGGAAAGAGCAGCGGCCTCCAGTCGCGGCGCTGGCCACTTTCGACACCTACCTGGATCCTTTTGCATGTTGGCCATGTGCCGGTGAACCCCTTCTCGCCTTCAAACGGAGAAGCTTCTTGTTACTAGTAGCGTCCTTGCTCCTAGTAGTACGGCCAGGAGCCCCTACTAGCATTCTTGTTCCTAGTAGCGATGCCAGGAGCCCCTAGTAGTGTCCTTGCTCCTAGAGCCGAAACCGCACAGGATGGACGATTGTCCGATCACCTCCGCCTCCGACAGCGTGAGTGTGAGCCAGTTTCCAACGTTGACGAGGCACGTGTCAAGCTGGGAAAAATGTGGCAAGGAACGCACTCAAATGGGCAGATGCGGCAAGGACTTGGAAACATGTGTCAAGCTGGCGGTCTGTGAGCAACCTCAAATCTAGTGCCCCAAGTTCATTTGGACCTCCAAGCAGGTCTGGAGAGAAGCAACTTCAATCAATTTGATCTCATATCTCCTGTCAAGGCCTTGAGACCATTTAGCTCTTAGATCTACCAGGCTGTGGAATCTGGATTCAGATGGTGGGCGCGCAATGCCGTACATCTTCAAGCACTGCCTGGCAGGTACATCATGGGAAAAACTGGCGACAAGGACCTGCATGGAAACATGGGAGATCATGGGAGGGTTGAAGGCAACCGGTGATCGATGATGCGCAGCTGTTCCTTACATGGTTGAGCATTTAACGGACAAGGATTTTGCTGCGGCACAGGACTTGTCCAAAGGCACATGATGATCCATGGGAATCACCAGATCACCATGTCATCATAGCAAGACATGTACCTGAAATTCAGTTTTTGTAGCAGAGATGTTGAGGATGAATCCAATTTAGTACTGGTGTGTAGACATATGTGGCTCACGAAGCCCACGGCACAGAGAACGGTCGCTTGGGCATTCTTGTTTGTTGCAGTCATTAAGACCCAGTACGTATGTTCCGCTCCAACACGTTGCACGAGAGAACTTTAACAAAGCAAACACACATTCACCATTGTTTGGTTTGCGGAATGGTTACACTTCACACGAATCAATGACAGCTGCTTCGGGGAATGCTGATGATCTAAGTTGTTCGCGATTGGCAGCAACATGTTTTGGATGGTTGTTCCAAGACTCCTTTTGAGAAAACAAGTGCATTTCCCGAGCTTCGCCGACTTTTCCAGGTTTCCACCAACCGGAGATCGGAGATCGAACGAAACGGCTGAGGAGCTGGCGATTCTGCTGATGGCGCTTCAGCTAGCGTGCAAGGCGACCTCCAGGGCCTGCAACAAGGCGAGTCTTCGTGACGAGGGCGTGAAGGGCAGGTGCGATGAGGGCACTCGGCTTGAGTGAAGCATGTTTGGAATCATCCCGAACAGTTCTTTCTTAAAAACACCCGAGCTCATGGCAACGTGAGGCAAGTTGTTCGAGAATGCCATTGGACTTGACACTTGCCGCTGAAAAGCTCGTCTTTCCTTTTTTTTGAGACCTGGTTTTTGGATAAACGACATTCATGTTCTTCATGGTCATCGACCCGTACTGTATGCTACACCGTGCATCCGGGAGTTGTGAAGATGGCGCAGGCGGGGATTGCGATGCTCTTTGGCTTGGCGGGAGAAGTGAACTCCACAGGCCGCCATGGCGTTGGGAAAAACCCGAAGGAGTGGACTGGGCTGCAGATGGGGATTGAACGGTTATGGAACCATGTCGAAGCGGTTTGAAGTTGATTGATGTGATGATTTATGGACCATGACAGCAAAATTATACATGTGTGGTTGTATGTCATAGCATATGATATATGCGTGTTTTCATATTCATCGGTTTGGTTTCTAGGATTAATACAGGTAAAGATTCCAGATCCATTTTGGGTGTTCAACTCGCTGAAATATAGTTGTCCCTGACACCCGCGGGAAGATTCACCTCTCCTCACGCAAAACATTCATGGTCATTTGGTTCTCTGGTGGAGATTCTACCCGCAGGTGCTCAAAGGTATTCTCCCAGCGAACCTGTTTGGATCCAAACCAACTGTGGGGTGGGTCTTGGTGGGTTTGTTGCCTGAGATTTTTGAGGTTCAAATCATCGAGATGTCACAGTGTGACCTCACAAATCTGGACTTCTTGCCTACTGCCTCCAGCGCTGCGAAACGTCGACCAAAATCCACCAATTCCCCTAAGCCCGAAGCGTTTCGACGCAAACAGACCATCACAGTAATGTAAAACGTGCCCTTGGGGAGGTTGTTTGCGGTCCTTTGCCCGTGAAGCCAGGCGACGACCAGAAAAAGTTGGATGTGCCTTCGGCAGTTCTGTGTGTTCGCTGATCCAAAAGCTGATGATGTGCCTCATGATAATGTGTCATCATGTTTCACTCTACATACTCTTGGAGCCTTCTCAGGACGTAAGGTAGGATATGGTAGGATGTAGTAGACGTCGCAAGCTCGTCATCGTGACTTCACATCCCAGGTGCTCTCCAACGAGATCTTCATCGATGCTTTGACCAACTGCGGCGCTTGTGCTGTTCTGGTCTCTGAGGAGAACGAGGCAAGCGAACCGACACCTTCGGTACGGTCGAAAAAAAAGACAAAACACAGTCAGTCAGCTGTGAAGAGGAAAAAGTCGAGGTTTGAAGTGGTACTGGGCAAGACAGGGAAGCAGCATGGAGAACCAATCAGACTTGAGAATCCCATAGAGAGCTTTTGGCCGATGTTGGTCTTTTGGCGATTCTTTTTGACAGCGTTTGCGAAAGCTAGAGAAACCTAGGCAGTGCTGGGGCCAAGTGACAAGTGGTTTGTTGGTCACCCGTTCCATGAGTCACAAACACGTGCAATGTAAAGTGCGGCTGGTTCATCCTAAGTAGCTGGATGTTCTATAGACGTGCCATTGAACGTCTGCCTCCTTTCGCCGCGGCTTGGGGTTCTGCCGCTAAAGTCCTTATCCTTCACCTGATGAAGACTAGGAGTGTCGTCTTCTAGTCGGAGCCATCTGATGCCCAGAGGGTCGATGAAGGTCGGGGGGTGACACTTGGCATGCCCTATCCACCCTGGTCGGTTGACCTGCGACTCGTAGTCTATTCATGTGTATTCTCGTCATTTTCCGGAAAAACCAGGGTCTGCCGAGACCTCCCTCGGTTTCCACAACGGGACACTTCATTGTGAGGATCCGATCTTCGTCCCGGAGGCCGGGAATGACCAGACGGCAGACTGCAGAGCGTCGCCGCGGAAAGACCTAAATGAACAGTATACAGTACAAGTAACACGAAAGACGGCACAATTAGACAACGGAGAGATGTATGAGAGATGTTGAGTTTTCTTTAGTTATTTCGTTTGATTGTTGCAGGTGTCTCACAACTTTTTTCAGCACTTCCCTTTGTCAGCACACACACACACATACAGGTAGGTTGTATGATCATATATGATATCCTATGTATCTTCCAGGCAATGTTCCATGGGCTCAAGAATGCACAGACAACAAAGAAATGTATCAAGAGATCTGCAGCCTCTTCGAACAGGACAAGGCGGGTCGCTTTGTGGTGGCCTTTGACCCCTTGGATGGGAGCAGCAACATCGACTGCAATGTCAGCACAGGCACCAAGACGGAGGGGCTGTTGGTGCCTGAGATCAGGGTCTGGCCAGGACAGCTTGTTGGGTCTCAGGCCAGCCTGAGCAGGAACATCTGAAATACGATGAGGGAATGATCAAGGTTCATTCAGCTATCAGGTTCACCAGCAGTATCTAAGGGCATGTTGAAAGTAGGTAGTCCACTATCGTTCGTTAATTGACAACCCTTTTGGAAGGTCAGGTGCTAGTATGGTCCGGTTCCATCCTGGGTGAATCTGCCTTCGCTTGCACAAAACGAACCCAAAAGAACAGATTGTGTTCATGGCACATTCCTGCATGTGCTGGGCAACATGTCAATTCTTGGGTTTTGTCTCGACAAGCATGTTCAATATCTCCAGGATCCAACTGCTATGTCATCCCTGGTTTCAACAAACAACTTCGATCTTCCTAATCTCCAAATTCCTTTGAACAAGTGGAGATTCTTGCTTTGCCCAAACCTGCAGCAAACCTGTCTCCGTCGCACAAAGAGACCGTGAGCGTTCGAAACTGGGGCGACTGGGCAGGCACCATCTTTGCCGTCTACGAGAAGAAGTCGGAGAAGAACGCCACGGTGGGGCCTCGGACAGAGAGAGACGTGATGGTGCCATGTGTTGGCGGATTTGTAGGATCTGAGAGAATTGGGGATTTGTATGGATTTGTAAAGCATAATACATGGCGTGTTTGCAGGTAGGAGGGTGCTTGGCATTTTCTTGGGAGACATGACGATGTGTTGTAATCAGGATCTTGCCAAAGCTGTTGCTCGCACTTGGTGGAAAGCGAGGTCCGACAGTGTGCTCGCATTCGTGATTTCTCGCCAGGTCAGCGACATCTTGCGCACTGGAAATGACATCCTGGTTGCAGGCTACTGCATGTACGGAGCGGCGACCGAGCTAGTCATCTCCTTCAAAGGCCGGAAGCATCAGGTTTTGGGCCAGTGGGCCAGTGATTGGTCGGTCCAAGAAAGATACAAAGGTACAGACGGTTGGAACAGAAGCAACCTGGCGCGTTCGCAGAACACCCTGGAGAAGGGAACATGACTGATATGACCATTATGACCCCTCAGATACTCCCCAGAGTGTTTGCGTCGCAATCTCAACAAAACATCCCACTCATAAGAACTGATTTTTGAGCCTGCAGACATGCCAGTTGAACACCTGGTAGGCATGTCCAGCGTTGCAAAAACTCCAATCAGCAAGACCTGCAGTCATGATGTCTACACCACAGTGCTAGACAAAGTAGCTGGCATCAATTCAGCAGTTACTATTTGTATGCAGATTATTATTGCATATTTACCTTCGTACATTGCGTATTTTTCTAAATATATATATATAGTATATACATGGTACGCCCCCCGGCCCCAAGATATTATATATATATTTATATACAATACCAATATACGCATTACGTATAGTATTCCTAGTGGCCCCAAACTATGACACAACCCCTTTGGGGCCATTTGTTCACTTCCTCTAAACTCTAAACACAATGATCTTCTGGTGCGTTTGAGTCAAAGCATCTGAACACCTGTTTGCTTTTGAGTCGAGTCAACATCCGACCGATGGCCTCCACCCTACTAGCGGCCTCCAGCCTGTTTGCTTTTGTGGGTGATCCTCTTTATTGCATCTTGTCCAAGGTGCAAGGGTTGACTGGTGAAGGTGTCGCCACAAAATCTGACTAATCTCACATATTTTTTAATTTATCACCGAGTACATCACCGTTGAACCCAATCAATCTGGACCTTTGGCCCCAGTCGTCACCGTTCACGCAGGCCATGGTGTGCATCGATTCACCCTGGACCCATCTTTGGGCGAGTTCGTGCACATCCAGGCGCGACCGGTGCGACCGGCTGGGTCGGCAGGTCGGTCAGCGTCGGTTCAACGAATTCGACTGGGATCTCTGGGTGTGCAAACTGTGTTGTGACTCTTCCTCCATCCATTGCTGCATTTTTTGGGAATCGGGATCAAACTGATTTTGATCATTCCTTGACTGTTCATTGATGTCAGTATGATCCACAGCAGTTCTTTTCCCTTTGCGTTTTGGAGGCACATGTGCAGCTCCCAGAGGGAGGTGGAAAGAAGATCTATAGCTGCAATGAAGGCACCGGTGAAAGCGGCGGAAGCGGCGGCATCACTAATTGCGTGACCGTTTTGGGTTCTTCGCGGCCCTTTGCAGTGACGCAGGGCTGGGGCGGTAGGACGGTAGGACGGACTTGGACGGTATCCCGCTTGGACGGTATCGCGCTATGGCATAGGCCCTTGGTGTTGCTGGTACTTGGTGGTGCTCTAGGCCAATGCCATTTGCTAATAGCTTTCTAGTATCCCGTCCATCTGCTCAAGAGTATATACCGCATGATACCACATGCCAAGCTACCTTGAGTAACCTATGTACAGGGTCTGGAACTCAGGCAGTTGGACATGTTTTCTTTGTTGCGATGGCCTCCAATCTATGAGCGATGGCCTCCAACCTTACAGTGATGGCCTCCAACTTACA